CCGAACGGATTTATATTTCTGAATTTTCAATATCACAAAGCGTGAGAGGAACGTAGCCCTCTGATGAGACAACTGACATCTAGAAGGTATCGGTTCTTGACATTTTCATGATGTCAGAACTCAAAAGCCCAGGAAGAAAACAGTTTTGCAACTGATTCATTCCTAAGATGCCTTTCTGACCAAACAAATCCTACTTATAAGGTGCCACCTGAGCTGTCTGAAAGAAACGTGCCTCCTTTCCCCAGCGCAGGTCAGGGGTTGTACGCTATGCCGAAAAGTTGGCAGCTGTGGTGGTGCACTGCATACCTTAAAGATAGGACGGGCGTGGCTGCGTGCTTTGCGGCGTGAGCCTTCTTTTCGTAGGACGATTCCATTTAGGACAGATGTCGTTCCATCGTGTTATGGGCAAAGGCATGATTACGACTGTCCAAAGGGCAATATTTCTGCAGAAGCACCGCCACTTTCGAGTGAAGTACGGAGCTACGCCCTTCCATTTCCGAGATATGAAGGGTTCAGATACATGGCAGTTTGAGAGACAGAAGAGGCTTCAAGTGGTGAATGTTCTTGGTCAAAAGACAAAGGTCTTTCTGTGGATTCTTGCTCTGAACTGACCTCAGAGGCCATCTGTCTTCCTTCTGTGGGGAGAGCCCCAGTTTATGTCTTGGATAACAGGATATGGTGGGCGCGCCTTCGTTGTTAGTAGAAATGGACAAACCAGGGTACCTCATTAGTTGGGGTATTTGGTCGATTCAATGAGACCCTGCCCCATTTGCAAGGGGCTGGTACGACCTCCCATTTCGAGCTCTCCGGTGGGGGGGGGGAGGTGTGTAAATAGCGCATCTGAAATGGGAAAAAGCGCAAAGCAAAATACGACCCCCTCTCTAACATGTCTTAGGATTTCCCCAACTTCTTACCACTTTTCCCGAATTCCTCCAGAAATTTCCCACTTTTTCCCAAAAATTTTGCTGTCGATTGGGGGGAGGGGGGGTGGAGGGAGGGGCATGGGTATACTGCTCAAAGTGAAGGGGAGAAACCGTCGAGGGGAAACGTGCCCCATCCCGAGCATTAGCTTAATAAGCATGCGCTAACTTCCTACCAGTTTTTCTCTGGGATTTTCCGCAAGATGTATCCTCTTTTTCACGAAATTCGTGGTGCCGAGCTGAGCGAAAAGGTGGGGGATACACTACACGTGAAACAGGAAAACTACGAAGCTCACCGAACGTCTACTCAAGAGACAGAGAAAAACATTGACCGCCCCTCCTCCCAAACAGCAAGCAAAAATCCCGTCCTCCCCCTTTACAAGCGTCCTGAAACAAACAAAAATCAACTATCAAAAAAGTTCCTCAACCTAAGCGACGGACCTCTCTCCCAGCCGACGCAAAATACGACGCCCCCCCCCCCCGACTGAGCTTTATGTCACTTCGGAAGGATGCAGCGCGGCTGCTGCATCGCCTTGGGTGGGTCATCAGTTATACCATTCGAATACGGTGGCGATCCCTCAAAATTGCACGAGCGGTAGTGAGATGCTCATAAATGCATGTTGTTCTCAAGGGTGAAACGGTCAATGGTGGTTTACCAGTTCAATTTCAACAGTTCTCTGGAAGTGTTCTCTAGATCTTAAAGTAGCACCTTTCCATCATCAGTTTGCAATGCACTGCTGGTCTTTGATCGAGTTTTCTCGTTAATTGTTCCCATGGCAACCATGGTTGTTTCACCACGGCCATGTCATCATCAGCCTGCAGCTACCTATTACGATGAGGAAAAAATTTTGAATAATCACTGGTGTTCATGTTCCCACAATTCCTCTCCAAGAAACAGAATAGCTATCTGCGCTGTTTGGCGACGAAGGAGGGGGGGGAGCATTTAGCACTTAACGACTTCCCATCGACATGTCGACCCATCTAGACAGCCTCTTCTCGAGTTGACAGGTTTTAACATGATGGCTTGACTACCTTGTTCCAGCTTCACAAGAGTTCACAGGTTTCGCAGAGTGAGACTTGTAAGCCAGAACTACTGAAGCAACGCAAGTGCAAAATGCCCCCCGTCGGCAAACTGCGCACAGCTATTCTCTGTGACTTCCTGCGACTTCCGCTGAGGGCGTGCTCGGGATTTTACGGACGCTAAGTACCACTTTCTGTTCCTAATCAGACATGCGATTGACAATCGGTTCTCCGATGCTCTATAAGACCACAAGTTGATCAGATTCAGATGTTAGGGCTCAAAGCCACTATTCGGGGCTGGTCGGTATTGGCGTGGTCACGCGCCTCTTATCGCGTGGCGCGGCCGTCGTAACTAATGCTGCGGAGACAGAATATATTGCCAACTGGACTCATACGTATTGGTATCAGGGTCCAACTACTCGTGACAAGTCCCGTTCTTGTATGCAGTGCTCAAGACGCACTTGGCATCAATAGTGACTGCTTCCTAATGAGTCAAAACGACGAGGCAACAACGTCAGGATATAGGTAGATTGGCTTGACGGATGATTGGTGAAGCAATGAGACGCCTACTTGCGGCAGTAGCTCCCCACAACAACTCTGAAGTAATCTTCTGCTTCCCACTCACTATTGTGTCACTGCCATGCAGACCTATACCGATCTGCTCGCAATTTGGCCAGTATGAGAGGCAAGGGCGCCTGCTGCTTCAAAGCTCCCATTCATCACCAAGGAAACCCCTTTGACCGTTAGGCGTCAAATCTCAAGAGATTCTTGCAATTAATTACAAAAAGTAGAGCAACATTGAAGTGACGTCAGCAGCCGCGTAATCGGACGCGATATCAGCAAACAAGGACTTTCGTAGCATCCTTCGTCAGCTTTTTCGGATCGTTTCAATAATGGATATCCGCCTCAAAAACTAATTTCGTGTCTTTCAAGTCTTTAATTTCCTTTGTTCTCTTCGTTGCTGATCTTTGAGCCCCATAACTTCCACTTTTCGGGAGATGGAAAGGGCAGTTATGAAGCAAACCAGTCGTACAGCATTTATTAATGGGTCCAATGGGGGAAGGTTTCCGAGGAGTTTCTATAGTTACGACACCTCAACAATAACCTCCCACTTGATTGATTAAAACTAAGCTTTGCGCAACTCCTTTCTGCGTCCAACTTTTCGCCTTGCTTTGCAGTTGCAGTTTAGGAGATCCGAGTCACGGTATGGCGCACATGTTGGCAGAGCCTTAGAGGCAGTTGGCACGATAATTTGATATTTGGCCTAAAATGCTAGCAGGACGAACACAGTGGGGGGGGGAGGAAATGGCGAAAAAACGAAGTGAAAAGGTCAAAAACCTGCAAGGAAAGCCTTCGTTCTTAATGACTCAAAGAACAATTTCGGACGAGTTTCCCGTGGGCATCTTGCCAATAACCGCTACGGTAGGTACGGCTGCATGTATGTACTCATATATCCATGCAGCACCGCAGCCGCTTCATACCAATCCCTTCGCTTCATATTTTACTTAGCAAATGAAGCAATACGAGCATCAGGTACGGTCGTCCATTTGTGGGCGGGCGGGCGTGGTGGGCGTTCGGGTCGGTATGTTGTAGCTTGATAAAACCTTTCTAGGGGTACCCTTCTCGAGAAAAGGCGGAATTCGGTCCTGCCTGGCATATCAATTCTGTCTTTGGGACCTATCGTGCCAGTTGCCTTTAAATTGATGACCTCACTCAAGCCAGCTTTGCCGCTTTGAACCAATTGGGTCTGGTGTGAATATCGCGCATGCGACGCTTGTAACGCAACTCTAGCCGCCGTCGCTTTGACTCTATCTACGGAACTACGCTATACTTTTACCTTGTCAATAAGTTTATTAAACGCTAAGCCTCATAGAATGTGTTTCAGATGTGGTGGTGGACGTATTGGCTTGATGTCCTCAGCAATCCATTCGAATACCTGAGCCTTTCATCACCTGAATTACCCAGCTCAGGCGTGATGTTATGGATTGTTGTGGTGGGTTTTATCACTCAAGGAAATACGAATAGTCTGCTGCTGCAGGCGGAGTGAATAAAACTTTTTGCAGGGAGCAATCATTATTCGTTTTTTGCACATTTTCGGCTCGCCTGCAGTGCCCGAAGTGACAGTGTTGGAGAAATCCCAAAACACCGCTATGAAAAACCTTTTAAATGGGATTGATATGCTGAAAGAACCGTAAGTTTTGTGAATTTTTGGCCCAATAGCCATTTTAGGAACTTTTTGTAAAATGAGGTTAAAAGCGTAGCGCATCCCAAAGAGATCCTGATCAATCAGCAGCAACAGCTGAACGGTAATTGTTAACTTCCTTGCGTGTATAATTAGAAAAGCAAAGAAAAACAAACATGGGAAAGGAATACACTCCACAACACAGATGATCCGTTTCGCTCGGTATCGCAGACGAATCATCATTGTCTAGCCAACCCCCGAGCTCATCAGTGCGATAGGTTGAAGACAAGAGGACATAGACTACATAGGGGAAGGTGTGAGAAATAGGACAAAAAGAGAGAGATTGTAAAAAAGGGGGGTAACATGCAAAGTTCATGCATCAAGATGATGATGAATTACACATAATAATGAAAATTATACATAATAATGAAAGAGTGATATAACACGAAGTGTGCTGTAAATACGTGTGGAAGGAAGGGAAAAGGAGTAAACCGGCAAAACCACTGAGAGAATGTTGAGTATAAGAGAAGGTATACAAGAAATAAATCAATTAAAGTATAGTGGAAGGAAGGGAATTAGTGTTGATCACTGCTGCAAATGAGTAAACCTGTGACTAGTCTATTTATCTTTCTATAGTTATTTGCGATTGAGTACTTGTAACTTATAAATTTATTTTTATAAATACACTTAACAATGCTAGTAATAATAAAATCTTCCTCGTAGCCATTTTTCAAAAGAGTGGTGACCATATCCGTTATTTGTTAGCTTCCTTGCGTGTATATTTAGGAGGCTTGCGGGGCTCCATGCCGAGTTTTGAGCCCTACCTGTACTGAACTCGGAAGAGTACTAAGTTCATTTCGAAAACTTTAATCGATAAGTGGAATGGGAACGGCTTCAACCAGACGACGCACTGTGGCGTTCAGAAGCTCTGTTGACGACCTTCCTTTCAGCTATCGCCCACCAGGTCTGTGGGGACGATCGGGTCACCTACAAACGGTCACATACGGCTTGCTTGGCCATGCTTCACTTCGACGAGTCTTCGATCGACGGGCAGCCATTCGACTCGCTGACGGCTCCACCGTAACCTTCGACGTGTTTGAGCCAACAAATAAGCACGAGGTATGTATAGTGTAGTTCGCTGCGGACGGTTGGGCGTGTCAGGCGGGATGAGTTTGGCGCGGTGCCAAACCCGTTCTCCACCAGTTGTTGAAAGCGAGCAAGTGATATGACTGTATCATATCGTTCGTATTACTCGTTTTCTACCACTTTTTGTCGCATGCGCGCTTCAACAAGAAGGCAGAGAACGGCTTTGACGGGGTGACACACTCATACTGCCTGACACGCCTAACCGTCCGCAGTGAACTAGAGTTTAATTTCACTGCGGAATAAGAACTGGGTATATTGATGGATTGCTGTTGCAGAATGGTCTTGATATTACCCTGGCACTTACTCCTGGAATAGCTAACTGCAGTGAGAGCAACTACATTCGAACCTGCGTGCATTATGCTCAAGAACGAGGGTATGATTGTTGAAAAGTTATCCTTTTTCTTTATTTCCAAGTTAGCATTGAAACTTTTTTTGGATACGACATTTTCAATTGGCCGCGGTAGGAAAATTGGCTTGGAGTTTTTTTTTACATCAGAGGACAGAAACTTCAGTTTTCATCAGCGTTGGTGAACGAGCGCAAATGTATTAGACGTGGTGGAACCTTTTAATCTACATTCACTGTATCACCTGTGCTCCCGTTGATCATCGAGTTCCTCGAGCGGGCGCCAGTAACGTCTCCATTCGTCCCTGCAACGTGCAAGAGTTGCCCAATGACTCTCTCTGCTCGAGGGACACGATGAACTTCATACCATTCGTTCAGAGCTTTCACGAAGAAGTCTGACCATCGCATAGGCGGTCGTCCAGGCGTTCGCTTGACATCCCGTGGAATCCAGTCGGTGATCGCTCTGGTCCAGCGGTCGTCCTCGAAACGCATGACGTGCCCGGCCCACCTGATCTTCGAAACCTTGGCAAATGCGGCGGCGTCTCTGATCTTCGATCGTCGGCGGAGTGCGGAGCTCCGGATTCCCTCTCTCACTTGCGTGTAGCGGGAAACTCCGAGCATCGCCCTTTCGATGGCGCGTTGAATAACGCAACCGCATGCATCCTGCTTTCGTAGAGTGAAAGTCTCTGAGGCATAGGTCAAGGCAGGAAGGACGCGGAAGTGAAACACGGCGCTTGGCGTTTTTGTCTTCTTCGCATACCGCGATGTTCTTGAAGGGCTTCCCAAGCCGCTCGCTTCCTCAATAATACAGCTCTGCGTCCGCTAATTATTCTATCATATTGTTTGTCACGACCCAGGTACCTGCTAAGGCATTCAAAAGACCGATTTTTTCCACACGCGCAGTCGAAACAAGCAGTATTCGTTACCGCATTGCCTGATGTTTTGGGTATCAAAACGATCGTCAGCCACAAGCGTGATGTCTCCAAGTACTTGCTGCACCGTCGATCTTCACTTCCCATTCCAGGGTTGACAAGTGACGTTTCGATGAGGCGCTGAAGGGCTGAGCAAGATGGGTCGCCCATGGTAGTACCCCTCTCTTCACGTCGATTGATGATCTCCCTTGATAGAATGGTGAGATCCCGTCCGTGAAGGTCTGCTGTAGAGCTCTGACGAAGAATTTTCTGTCTCACGGAGTCGAAGGCTTTCTTCAAGACGATGAACGTGAGACATTAGCGTTTGTACTCTCGGGCGATACTGTGTCGAGCTGATCCGTTGTCGCTATAGGATGTGATCGATCGCTGCTAATCCTTCTTCGGAACCTTCTTGTCGCATGGGCGTCCTTCCGTCTAGTGTTCTGCCAGATCCCGTCTCAGGGGTGACTTCGTGTGATGAGTTAGTAGAATACCAGAAGCAGGGAGGTCTCGGCGACTCACACTCTCGCCAATGTCGTACAGGTTCCTTCCTGGTACAGCAACACAGTTTGCTGGTTTTCCACGAGGTGGGTACCTTGCATTCCGACAGGTAGCGCGTGAAGAGTCGAGCCAGAGTTCAGACAAGATTTTGCGGAAGATTCTTCAGATTTCAGGTCTGATCTGTCGGAACCGGGTGCCGTACGATTCTTCACCGACGAGATATCGTGTCTGACTTCGGAAGGGAGAACTGCAGGAACGACGTTTCCATCCTGCTCCAAGTGGTGGCAGGTGGACTTGGCTGTATAAGAGAGCCGAGTAGAAGTCGTGGATGGCCTTCTCCATTGCCCTTCTGGATGCGGTCATTGTTCCATCCGGACTCGGAGGGCGGTCATCTTGGTCTTCCAGTTTGGCGAGTCGCGGCGGGTTTTGCGGATGCTCTTTCCCTCTGCGGCTTCCACCAGTACTGCTGCTCTTCTCTCCTTGAGGTCTTCCTTTATCGCTTCTCTGCATAGCTTCGCAAGCTCAGACGTCAGCTGGTAATTGCCTGGCGGACCTCCGTGCGGCTGCCACGTTGCGAATCAGCTCGATAAGTTTAAGAGATAAGACGTTCTTGGTAATTTGGAGCTGTCTCTGACTTGCTCTGCGCGATGAAGCATGTGCGATGAGTGCGTAGCCGCTCATCAATGTTGTCGAATGACGATCCATCCAGAGAGCCAGCGAGAGAGAAGTGAAGTGATCTCAGTTGATTACCGTCTTGGGGCTTCGCTTCTTGAACTTGGCGGCTCTCTCTCCTCGCATCGAAAAGCGGAATCCTGCGCGAAGGAGATGGTGGTCGGATCCCGTGCAGAGCTTAGGAACAACAGCGACATCGGTCAGGCAAAACCTTCGATTGAAGATGATGTGGTCGATCTCATTATGGAATTGTCCACCAGGAGACTCCCATGTCCAGCGTAGAGAGTAGGGCTTCTGGAACTGCGAGTTACCATGGATGGTATGGGTCGAAGGGGCCGAAAACCCAGACAAGCCTTCACCCTGCTTCATTCCACTCCCATTCGTGAGTTTCGATGTAGAAGTTCTGCAGCCTTCTTCTTGGTCCGATATACAGGGAAAGGTCAAACAGTGTCCAGTCTTTGCGGCTAATTTCCAATGAGCTGCACACCATTGTACGCGTCTTGGGAAGGTGAACACAGAACTGTCTTCAAAATTTGCAGAACGATTCTCTGAACGGAGTTATGAAGGGTTTTATCCCCGCATGGTCGTTTCACGTGCTGTCGCGAGGGAACGTTGCAGCCTCTTTACATTTACGTATGGAATCGTGCTGAAACGTGGCAGCAGAGCGCAATGGGTAGGGAGCGGGTTTCTTAGGCGGGACGTCGTAGGATCGGTTCTGGGGCAGGTTCATTTTTTTGCATTTGTCCAAGAACATAGCCGACAAAGCTTCTAACATCTCTGCTCGCCTGCACTACCCTACAAGGGAACCTGCAATCAGTTTTTTTCGAAAGTGTAGACCCATTGCGGCCTGAAAGAGTGCTTCTGCTTGTACCCTCGTAACACGTGTCACAAGGGTTTTTGTAATGAAATATCATCATATTCATGTTCAGCGGGTTAAATTACCCCTGGGGACAAGTTTCTGGCCGAATCTGATTTTTCGACCTCATTCGGAAAGTGTGGGCTATTCCATGGGTAAATTAGCAGCAGATTGGAGCTCACCTACCATCGATGACTGGTCTCGGAATGGGATTTCCTCCCGATAGTGAAGGAAATCATGCAGACGGCACAAACAAGTAAGCCAGGTACTGTTGTTTGCAAAAAGACATGACTGAAGAGTTATTTCAGTTCGATGACCAGTCATCACCAGTATGCTAGTCATAGTATCGATGTTAGCTATCAGTTAGCCATGACTATCCATACCCCATTTTTACGAAGTTGAGTCAGAAGCTCAGATTTTGCTAAGGTGACGTCCTCTCTAGGGGTATCTTGACCCCCTGGAGGACACCGAAATATCATACCTTAGGTTTTGCGCGAAGAGCGATGTGAGTCGCGCTACCGGTGCCAACGCTTCGGTGCCAGCGCGCCCGTAAGAAGAAAAACAGTAAGAAAAACCTCAATACTCCGCTCAGAGAATCGTTCTGCAAATTCTGAAGGCACAATGTTCTTGAGTGGCAGCGCTGGTTGACAGATGAGTACAGTGATGTGCATTCCTCATTGCAAGCATGACCAGGCTGATTTGTTTGACCTTTCCTGGTGTTAGCGTTGAATTCACGACGATGCTTGAAGAAGGTATGATCTTCTTGATAGAACATCTCAATTCCATATTAGAACGCTTCCGACTTTCATTCCTTCGTCGAGCTTTGATGTTTGGTGCCATGGTGACGTACAAGGTTGTCAAAGCCTGGAGTTGAACCACATCTTCTCAATCGCGAACGTCCGATTCGGGTCGTCAGATTTTCGTACGAATCGATGTTCATGGCCAAGTGCGTGTTGATGAGGATGCCCACACCGCCAGCTCCTCTGCTGTCGCATGTTCCGAGGAACAGCTCTTCTCCAGTCTCGTATACGGCGCGTAGCGGGCGATGCCTCCTCGTCGGTCAGTCTGAGACGTACGTAATGTGACTTCCTGGTTTGCAACATCAGATCTTCGATATGAGCTTCCGATGCAAGCGTCCGTTGCAATGCGTTGAGATCGTCATCCTAGCCCTGGGCAACTCAAATCTCCGTGATTGGCCCAGTGATTCTTGCAGCCTCGCCCGAGCGGTCCCAGCCGACGTCCTTCTGTCGGTGGTTCCCTCACGTTCAGGGAATGAGGCCGCCCATAATTACTTAATGTTTTCGGCATACGCGGCCACGTGAAGGAAATGTTGACACGGCGTAGCTCGCAGGCATCTGGGACGTGCGCACCTCCGCAATTGATACGGTGGTGCCGAACACATTTCAAACGCGTTCCCCCCACGCCACATTGAGGCATACGGATAGCGATTGGTGGTGGGGGCTCTGATTCAAGAGCCTTTGAATGCCATTTTCAAAACGAAGTATTTGATTTATAGAATTCGTTACCGGGACTTATTGCGATGCGGCATACCGCTACCACTCTGATATTGGACCGGTTTTCAAAGTTTCTAATACTTTGGGAACAACATAGGTTTCTCGAGAGTTTTAAAAAAAGAAATGGAAGAAAGGAGCGAACACTTAGACAGGCGTGATCTTCTTCCAGTGGATCGTATTAGAAACTTTGAAAACCGGTCCAATATCAGAGCGGCAGCGGCATGCCTCATCGGAATAATTTCCAGAATCCGGTACCGGTAGCGAATCTAATCAACAAACTTTCTTTTTTGAAAGAGAATTTCAAGACAGACTTGATTTGAGCAGAAAACTTTTGTGCCATTTGAAAATTGTATGTAAACTGTTAAAAAGTGCACGACATGGGCTTGTTCCAAGTTTTTTTTCCGCGACTGTATGTATTAGATTACGAACAAAAACAACCACTCACGGCAGTAACAAATTGGAAGTTTCAGAAGATTTAAGCGAGGGTATAGGAACAGATTATTAAAAGATAAAAGGAATACTAAAATATGTATAGTTGAATAGTGCATTGTAGAGCCTACTAGTCGAGCAATGTGCACTGGTATTCGCGGACCTGGGGAATGTCAGGAGCTAAAGCTAACAACGATCTTGACAAAATGTGACAATCACCTGGTAAAGAATGTTGTTAATTCTGCAAGATTAAAGGAAACCGTCGAGTTGCAGGAAATTAACAAAGTAACAAAGTACTGGTAACGGTGGCACTGGGGTCACACCTAAGCTGGAGTAGTTTGTGTCACCACTTCTTTTCGTATGGTTTCGATCAACGGAAAGAAGAATCACTGGAAAATAAGAAGAAGCTTTCCGAAATGAACACAGACGCACCTCAACAGAACAACAAATGTGGAAGGTTTGCCTGCACAAATTGAAACAAGTAAACCAAACCAAGTGGAAAGTTTTCCCAAGTTTTTCCCGTCGAGAACACATCAGATGTGCGCAGGTCTGGAGTGTATGGACAGATCTGTACTAACTTTAGTTACTCCCTTGCTCCCGGCAAAGTTACAAACGAGCTCTATTTTTTTCAGGATTCTTCTGCGAAGCGGCTTTTTTGTCAATCTTGCACGAAGCGCCCACCGCACATTTTCTGCAATTTTCACAATGGACCTCATTACATGCTCCGCCCCCAGATAACTCCGCCCCCCTCTTTATCGCGACACAATCCACATTCACATAACACATTTTACATTTGATGTTCACTTAACCATAAAGCGTTCTGCCTAGTATCTGTCTTCTACCACTCACAGCTGGTGGTGTTTTTGAAATCACCACGATTAGGCGATAGATAATGAAAATATAATATTTTTATAGCTGATACAGTTCTGCAAGTTCAAACGAGCTCTGTTTAGCTACCGATGTGCAGTTCTGAACCATTTGGGTGCACTCCCTAACGTGAAGTTGACAGGAAATAAAATCTTCACCTATGGTGAGCAAATTTACAAAATAATTAGGTAATCTATATATTGGTAGAAACAGTACTTGAGAAGATTACTATACTGGGAAACATTTAGTGTGGATGTTGTTTCAGGGGGTACTGACGAACTAAATGCAATGATGAACCAATTGTTCCGTGACTACCCACATTCACATTTCATCAGCATCGGTTTTTCGATGGGCGCCAACATCACCGCTCGATTCCTTACGCAGGTCACAGAAGAACAAAGGTAATTGTTCATCGATCAAGCATTTTTCAGCTAACTTCGCGCAGTGTGATACTCTATCGCGCTATTTTGTTCCTAATCCCACCTCTAATGGCACGCTAAGAGGTGCTTTTCGACCCTCAAGCTAGCATGAGGGCCAAGTTGTGAGCTGAATCTCTTGGCGGATGGAATTTGAGGAAAGTGGCATGCTTGAGGAACAATCACGGGTTCCTCAATGGAAACCAAAAATTGTGTAAAGGAAGCCTGAAATGGCAACAGTTTGATTGAATTTTTTGGTTTAAGGCGTCGCATACTGCTTGGTTTGAGTGTATGCCAAGGATATTCGGCAACTAATTCGGCATCAATGTATCACGACTGGGAAAATGGGCGTCGTATCTACAACTATTTCATCACGGAGAACATGAAACGCCTTCTACGACGTAATTATGAGCAAGCAGTTGCACCCCACGTCGCTAGTGGTTTGATTGACGAACAGGTATGTTGTATCGTAGGGTTGAAGGTTTATGGAAAGTGATGTACAGGCGGGGAAGGGGGGGGGCGAGGGGCAAAAAAGGACACTTAGGCCGAGTATCAGTAAAGTTTTCGCAGCCCAGACAGAAGACGTGGATACGAGTACCAGGGCGGAAGATACCCAAGATGTTCCTCGATAAGCAGGAGCTGGCTCTCGCCCATCACCTTCATGTACACCAAAATATGAAGTCATCTCCAGTCGCAGCCTGACTGGAGAAGACCTTTGGAATTCATGTCACCTCCAAACAGCTGCGAAACTTCTAGTGTGGAGTCACCCATGGATAGCTACCTGGAGACCAGTACTCTCGATCTGGAAGACCTCCAACATCGAGCAGCTCCGACAACGTCGCTACGGTCTAGGACATCATCTTCACCGCCAAGGCGCGGGTTGATGGTATGGACCGGACGTACCTGGAATGGAAAGACCAATATTTTCTTCGTGGACCCCGGACTGAAGGTGAGCGCTGGCGGTTACATTGAGCAACTCGAGAAGAATCCTTCATGTCGTCGCCCGTACCATCTTGGAAACTTTGTACTGCTACAGGATTGGGTGCCACCACATGGAATCGAAGGGCGTTGGAAAAACTTTCACCTGCTTGTAATGGAAGGGCAGCCTTCCATTCCAAGTAGGTGAATGAGCTCCTGAACAAGACGGAATATCTAAGTGTGGATCACCTGACCTGAACCCTTCCCCGGGTCCTAGCGGAGCTCAACAGGGTGGTCTACAGTGGCGGAGAAATCAACGACCTCGCTGAACTCAGGCACCGAATCACGGTCGCGTGGCAGAATCTCTCGATGGCGCTCGTCCAGAAGGCTGTGGCGGAGTATCATGATAGTGTACAATGTGCTGTTGAATATGGTGGTGGAAATGTCCAGTCAGAATTCAATAAAGTCTAACTTATATCGCTTTGAAAGTCGAGGAGAACAGTGTCTTTTTTTGCTCCCCTACCTCCTCTACGTAGCTTTAACATACCACATAGAATTAGAAGCTACGAGAACTCTATGCATTCGTATCCTTGGCACACCTTGCGCAGTCAACTATGTATGTATTTATGGACGACCGTTTTGAATTTCAGCGTCTTTGGTCAGCAACGTCGATTGTGGCGTTTGACGAGAACTATAATCGTCGGGTGGCTGGCTTCCAAAGTCTCGAGGCATTTTACTCCTGGTGCGACTCGCTGCCACATCTTCCGAAACTCCAAGTACCGATGATATTTTTGAATGCCAAAGACGATCCCATCGTTCCCGAGTGTCTCTGGGAACCTGTGAAGGTAAATGCGATCGGATTTTTCTCCCACATAATCATTTCAAAACACTTTACAGAGGCACTGGTGGATTAAACTGTAAAAGCCAGTGATTAGAGATTCAGTTAATCAACTAGTGCTATAGAAATGCATGCAAGAAGAAGCCCGGTGGAAGTTCAGCCGGTTTAATTTCCGTACAGAAATGAAGGGTACGATATGCGTAATAAGTAAAACCTAGACGGAAAATATTAGGTCATCCCATTCAAAAATGTGGATTCCTGTAGAGGAATGGCAGAAAAGCAAAGGGGATAGGGCAGCGGGCTACTATACCATTTGGAAGCTAGTACCTTAGCTGTGTATCTGTGAAATTTGGCGAACCTAGCCACGGAAGATTTTCTATTAGGTTGTCCGGAAAGTTCTCAGCGTTTTGAGTGTTTCACTTCAAACGATCATAACTTAATACTCATCGGATTTAATCGAAATAGGCACCGTTCGAATCAGCACACTTTTGCCAATGTGACACCAGTCGAGAAATCCCATCAAAGAAAAAAACCGGCCGGTCGAGAATCCACGAATCCATGAAGGCTTTTTTGCCTGGTCCTGATTGATGAAGTATATTCCAGCAAGGGAGTTC